TTTATGTTGTTACTACCTTTTTCTCGTTATTTCTGATATATGTCTTCTTGTCAATGTTTTTCACTGTTTTCTCGGCTTTTTATACTCAGTTTTGCTTCGCCACTGTAAGTCGTTTTCAGTGTCCATCTCTGTTTACTGCCGCACCGTCCAGCGCCTCCTTCTCAACTTTCCGAACAAAGAAGTAGTCAACTTTTAAAACGCTGCGACATTCAATAGATATGATATTCGAAGACTTTTGAAAATAAATGACATTATTTAAAAAATTTTTTAATGCAAAGTATACATATGTAAAACCTAAAAATAAAAGTGAAAAAAAAAAAAAGGAAAAATTATTATTAAGTTTACACAATCAACAAAAAGTTTTCTACTTACCAAAAAAACTTGTAGTCATTTTTTTTAGTGGTGTATGAAAGCTGTTTGTTCTGTATGCTGTTCAGAACAAGACTGTTCCATTAGAGGTGTATCTGCTGGATTTACTCTAAAAGAACTTGTTAATTTTAATGCTGCTACAAACAAGAACTAATGAAATAAGTTTGAAAACAATGTAATTATGACCTTGAATTTGCTAGCGATAAAAATCGTATAGTTTTCTTTTTAATTTATTGTCACTTTTTTTCTACTTTTGACGCGGTTTTTCTTGTAGTTTCTTCTCGCCGTTTTCTCACCTTTTTTCTGCTAGGCTTACCGCAACACCGCGGTCTGTTCTTTGGTCTTCATCATCGTTTGCTGGTGGCATCTATCTAGTTCAGCTAGCAGTCAACAAATTGACTTTTCTAGCATTCTTTTTTAACTTAAGTACGGAAATATTGTTCTAACCTACAGGTTATAAATTTATTCGGTTTAGCGGATCTGTGGCTAATGTTTGAAGATTTTAGGTTTCTAGTAAATTGGTCAATGACGAAATTCGTTCACACTTATTTGGTAAAATTTATCTTATTTTTTGTAGTCCTGAGTGCTGTTGTAAAACTGTTTAAAACCGTTGAAGATTTAAGAGGTTTAGGACTGCAAACAGCTGCATTGTCAAAGAGATCGCTCATTACATCAAAAACAGTAATCTATTACTTCCTTAATCCTTCATTTGTTGCATAAAGTAGATACATGAGAAATGACTACTTTTTCTTTCAAGTAATAAAATTAAATGTATCAAGTAGTAAAAATTATCAATAATTTCCTACATTTTTTCTAGCTTGCCGATCCATATCGGTTTAACTGGACAGTACTAGAAAGCAGTTTTTGTAAAGAACACGGAAAACCTGTTAAATATTTGATCATTATGCACACAGCAATCAAAAATTTTAAGCATCGAGAGGCGTACAGACGTATGTACGGAGATCCGTATTTTCAAAAGGTAAAAGTATTTTTAGCAGCAGTAGGAACGAAAACCACAAAAAAGACAAAGCTTTTCACTCAGTTTTTATTTGACAATTACAAAATTGGTGAACACTGTATGTTATGCAGACAAACTTGCACGAAACTTCTTCAAATTTCACCTGATTTTTAATTTAAGGTGGGTGATAAAAAACTTTCTAACAACAATACCATTTAAACAGCAAGTTAGTCTATCTTGTGCTTACTAACTAGTTTATTAGACCTATCGTAAGCAATTAGTGTCTTACACTTTAGTCTTTCTCGTTAAACATCATTCGATTTGTCTTTTTAAAACACGCAGATAAAAGTCTCGCATAAGCTTCTTCAGTTTTAATTTATTTTCAATAAAGGATTATTTCGTGTATATAAAGAAGTTATTTGACTGGAAGTGTATACGGCAATGTATATTGTTATTTTAGCTCCATCACAAATTTTCTAAAATGGTTAAAAAATTTTATTTCTTAATGGAGATCTAATTAAATGAAAAAAGTAATGTTTATCTGTTTACCTTTTAAATGGTTACTATTTATTCACAATGTAAAACGTATATAAAGCTTTTTTGAAATAGGAACAACTTTAATTACGTAACTTTTATCACCTCGAACGCGCTGCAGTTCACTGATTTTATGTTACTCACACAAAGATTTTTAAAACCAGCGGTCATCTGCATCTGTAACGAGAATAAATAAAAGCCATTTTGCTCTCAAAAGCTTCAAAGTTAATATGCTGTTCAAAGTTATCAAAGATATTCAAAGAATTGAATTTTGATAGAACATTTTTTAATGATAAAATTTTGATAGAACATTTTCCAAACATAAATACCAAACATAAATTGTAATTTACTTGATCCGCTTCTTCTCTGGCTTCTCCTGGTAGCTGATTGAAAAATTTACTACACGCAGAAAAAATCCAAGTTTCCTTCGTAGAAGTACTACTCCAAAAAAAGTGGGGTGATAAAGATTAAAGTGATTCTAAACATAATCGAAAAATGACGATGTTAATGGTGAAACTGATTTTTGGATATTCGTGACTTTGAAACCTTAAAGTAAAAAGTCACAAACCAGCTTCAATTTTGTTCTTTTGAAGAACTTTTTTATGTATCACTTCCTAACACAGTTGCTACCGTTAGCAACTGCTAGTTGTGATTTTTTTATGGTTTTCAAAGCAAAACACTTATTAATCTTACAAAACTATAAACTAATTTTGTTTGTTTATGATAGTCGTCATGAAGATTGAATTTTCAAGTAATTTTAAGAATAATTTAGAAAAAAACTAAAACGTTTTTTAAAACAAAAAGTAGATAAAATAGAATTGGCTTAGCAATACTAGCAATAAGTCGGTGTCATCAAAAACAACACTGAGTACTTTAATTTGCAGACAAATTACTTGGAAGAACACCATTGCTCGTCTAATGCTGAAATGGTTTCAGTTAGGAGTACGCCTTCTGTTTACCCTCGGAATCTCACAGAATTATACTATTGCACGATTAGCAGAAAAAGAAGCTCTGCATTACCACGATATCATTCAGCAAAACTTTCTTGATACATACTACAATTTAACGTTAAAGGTGAGCTGATAATAAGATATTATAAATAAAATGTAATTTTTTGAAAGTAAAGTTTAACTAACCGATTGTTACAAATAAATATTTACTTTAAAAAAATTGATTATTAAACTTTATACTCACATATGCAATCAGCATATAGTTGCAAAAAACTTCTGATTATTTAAAACTGTATACAACTGATTTTCCAAAAAAATAACTACAAAATAAAAGCAGCAGCAACAGTTATAATTCAGTTTTTAGCAGAATTTATAAATTTTGTAAAGAAGTCTTTATAGACAATTATGGCGGTACGATTTGTGTACGAGTATTGTGACAACGTGAAATACATACTTACTACAAATGATGATGTGTTAGTGAACCTTTGGGTAGTGATAAAAACTCTGCGACTTTATTTAGATACTAGGAAACCGCAAAAAGAAGTTGAGCGTACGATATTTTGTAACGTTTTTCATCATCCGAAAGTCATTCGTGATCCAAGAAATAAATGGTGAGGTTGCTCAAAGGCACAATTTCACAGTAACTGAACGGTTATCAAACTTTAAAGTTTTTGAACTCTTAAAGTAGCGAATGCTTGTGAAAGACGTTTAACATTCTTTTATTATTTAAACGTTACTGTCAAACAACTGAAAGAGAACGGCTTTTACATTCTCCTGTTGTTTGACAAGTAGCCGTTAATTAACTGTTACATTTTTTTTGTCTTTTGCAGGTATCTTAGTAGAAAGGAGTTTCCAAATTACTATTACAATGACTACTGCGCTGAATTAATGATTATAATTCCTAGCCAGCTCATAAGAAAAATGTTTGAAGCATCTAAAAAAGCTACATTTATTAAAGTAAGTAGATCTAATAAGCCTAAAATAAGCGAACTATAACTACAGCAAAACTGCAAATTTTTCAGATTGCTGACTATTTTTTGACTGGAATATTGGCAACGAAAGCTAAAGCAAAATTCAAAGACTTTTCAACTAAGGCATTTAATCACAAATTTAAAAAAAGTCGATCAGCTTTTCTGCTTAGAACGATTTATTTTCAAGCGACTGAAAGTATTGAACAGGCAGAAGAGATGTGGAACCAACTAAAACACAAATATAGCTCAGGAAAGAAGCAATATGAGGAAAATGATGAGATAAAACGATTTTGAGAGAAGGGTAAATGAGCACTTCATACTAAATATTGGTTACAGACTTTGTCGGATAACCAACGATAAAAAGACACTTGAAGATTCGAGAGAAGCGTAAAAGTTAGTTTTACGTTTTGTATTTCAGACTCGCATTAGAAAATAGGTAAAGAAGCGGTATGTTGCTGATTTAATAATATACATTAATTAATACTTTTAAAACAAGGTTGTTTGATAATGCTGCTTGCAAATACCTTTTTGCTGATAAGTTAACTCCAGACTGCAAAGTTCAAAAACTTTATATACAGAATAATGCATATTTTCTTCTATTTTTTCCTTAATTGTTCTTGTATAATATAAACTCAAAGTTTACTTGTTGATAAAATATATGTATTGCTTCGATGAGACTGTGAATTTTAATGCTGTTAGTGTAAGTCTATGCCAGTTTCAAAACTCGATTTATAGAAAAGAGTAGTAATACAATGCTTTGGTTGCTGATAATTCTCCACAGTGCAGGCAAAAATATTTTAGTATTCTAGAAAACGCGTTAGATCAGTTTCATACCATAACTAGAGAGGCCTTAAATTTAAATAAATATTTTATCCAAATTTTAACTGCGAACACGACAAATATGTTAAGTAAAAAATTTTTCAGCATTTACAAGTGACGTGAGTGTTTATAATTTTGAGCATGCTCAAGCACAGATTGGTGATTTGGTTTCAGTTTTATAGATATAGAAGAAAATGCGATTTCTAGATAAGAATTGCTTACCACTAGGCACTTTAGATTGGTGTTACATGTTCAATGAAAATAAACGACTACTTGTGCGTCACAAGCGAAATAAAATAATTGCAGTCTATAGAACTTACGTACGACAGCTGATTTAGTATCGTTCAAAAGCTGTGTGTCGCGCACTTCAGTTCAGTTGTTATCAAGACAGAAATCAGTACAGCTGCTGCAGAGTATCATCACTACTGTTCGTTGTGACTCTACACATTTGCTTGTTAATCTGTTGCTTTTAGAAGCTACTCAAACGACAGACTTGATACTGTGTCTAAGTCCATATACTGCCATATAAGCTAAGAAAAAGTATTGTTTATTTTAGTAACGTTATACTCATTAGACGATTATAGAAAAAGGCTACG